AGTTACCAAGCGCTTTGATGAAATAGTTTCGATTAATAAGCTGATTTAGTAGGCTCAACTAAACACGAAATTTCCCTTTTTGAAATGTTTGTAATTATTACCAAACGTATTGTTATTATTATTACAATTGATAGTAACAAAATATTTCATAACAATTACTAAATGCATCTCACAAGTTTACCCAGAATTTTTTTTTCAGTGCATTCGTGTAAAAGTGACAAATATTTTCGGCACTCTTTTAAAATAATTTAAAAAAGATGATAAAGTATAATATAAGAAGAAAAGGAATAATCTCGATCCCTCTCCGTCGTCTCGTTCATGAAAGGGAAGATCAAGTCATATAGACACAGTAATTGACACATATGATTCAACGTATGAGTAACGCTGTTCTATTCCGGCCAAATATATACATATATATATATAATTTAAATCGGGCACGAACTTATGCATTCACCTGATATATATATGTATATGTATATAATTGTAAAGTTATATCATCCATAAGTTATATGCTAAAAGTTATACGTCATATCTTTAATGGATGCATCTATGTGTCTCGCACGCGAATGTTGACGAGAAAATTATCTGACAAAGATTTTAAAAAACAGATGCGAAGAAAATGTAAATCATTACACATTATTATTTTGTATGCGCAGCACATTTTTGCAATGTGCATTACAAAACGTTTATTAATAAAACGTGTGTTTGCACGTTTTGTCTCTTTCTTATTCCGAAATACACATTAAATTAATATTATTGTAAATATTCAAAACATTTAAAACTCAAACATTTCAAAATAAGAAAATGACAATAAATTATAATCTTCTATGATAATTTATCTCATAGAAATTTTCTTTCAGATCTAAATACGAAATTTGCTTTTGAGATTTCATTGCTGGGAATCGCGTTGCATATATGTATAAAGCTGATTATATAAGCTTACATTAAAAAGAGAAAGATAGAATATTTATCGTCGTGCTGTATATCTCGAAGCTATCCTGAAGCGCAAAGCTTCGTCAGAAAGTTTATACATCTGGATTTATCTGAATATTTATTTACCGCGCAATTTCTTTTTACATATGCAGTGCACATCTACAAAGCGCCGCGAGTACGGTCTCGCGTTTCTTTCTCTCTCTCTCTCTCTCTCTCTCTCTTTCTTTCTCTCTTTCTCCTCTCCGACGCTTCTGGAGCGTTAAACCACTTCTGTTATCCCGCTAACTCGAATTTACTCGCGTAGCAGGCGGTGGTCGTTATTCGCCAAGTTTGACAAGTTTACGCGCCGCGGACTATTTGCTCGCGAAAGTAAACCGTTCTAAAGCTTGCTCGCTACGGGAAGTGCGCGCGCGGATCTTCCGGCGGTGGTTGCGGACAGCTTCCGGTACTCACGATCCGGCTTGCCGGATCCGGTAATGCGAATCGCGGCCTCGTACACGATGTGTAAGGTTGCTTCGATTTTTTACATAAAAGCCGCGCGCGCATTTATCGGCCTGAAAATAGAAATTTGAGCAAGGTACTATTATTAGACGATGAGTGTTCTCGCGGTTCTCAATTCGGCCCGCCCGTTTGTTACCGAGAAGCCGACAAGGGAAGGCCGCCCATACTTCACGTCCTCCTCCATCCGTCCTCCTCCTTTAATCCATTAGCGAATAAAGTCGTTTTCTCGCGGAAATATTTGCGTCTTCATTACGCGTTGTCTCCTTGTAAGAAAAATTTCTTCTCGCATTACGCATTTATTAGAATTATCTGATGCGCACGAACCTAGTTTCCGATCTCAGGTTTTCTTCGCTATCGATTCATCTACGCAATCTATATGATCACATTTGCATCATCTATACACACAATTATAAATAATATATTTACATAAATTATTATGTAAATGTATATATATATATATATAGTGTTGCAATTTTAACAGCATATGAAATCAGAAATATTCCGCTGCAGGGGACACACATATTACAAAAACCGAACAATTCTCAACCGGTACCATGCTTAAGAATTAGGCGGGCAATTAATGTACTAAACATACATAAAATCCATTCTAAAATCAAGCAAGACTTCTGTCGCTAAACATACCAATATACTATCTCAACGATCATCAAATCTTCGATCCATGATAGATCAAACAATTAAGCAAAATGAAAATATCAAAGTGTCAACATTTTTTTAGGAGACTGTAATCAAGCATTTACCAATCAAAGTTGTACTAATTTTGTAAGATAATAATTTATTAAATGCACGAATTGATATTAATACGAGGTAAACCAAAAAAAAGCAATTTATGAAAATAAAATAGATATTTATTAATAGTAAATAAAGATTGATCTGTTATTAATATTGTATCAAATATTTAATTATTTATTAATTATTACCATATTATCACAAAATTGCAACATATATATATATATATATA